GCTTACGAGCAAGAGGGAGACCAACTTTTTATATGGTTTCATACAGACAGAACAAGAGGGAATGATTTTAAACTAGAAGAGGGAAGATATAGGTTAGATGTTAGGCAAGCATTGTTTACTCAGAGGGTGGTGAGGCACCAGCACAAGTCATCCTGCATGATCTCCAGAAGCATTCAAGGCAAGGTTGGATGGGGCTGTGGGCAGCCTGAGCTGGTGGGTGGCAGCCCTGCCCATAGCAGGTGGTTGGAACTAGATGATCTTAACGTCCCTTCTAACCTAAGACATTTTATGATTCATTGATGTTTGTCCTTCAAACCAAAATAATTGTATTAAGAGCTTGCAATACTACAATGCCTAGAAACATGTTAGAAAAAAATCAGTAAGTTTTATTTAAATTCCTATGAAGTATCACTGTATTTCAATGACAAAAAACTCCTTTTTTTTTTTTCTTTTTATATTTCAAATAGCATAGCACCCTCTGGTGCATCTCCTATAAGTAAAATAACTGAATAAAAGCTAGTCATTGTTACAGAAAACACACGGTTAGTAAACAAAGAAAAAACAAGGAGCTCCAAGTTAAAAAGAAAAAATAATTAAAAAATCACCTGACCAAGAAGTGTTAGAAAACAAATAATCTAGTTTATTAAAACCAATTGTAATAGAATTACAAATGTTACAGAATAAAAAAAAAGGCTGGCAAAATTACTTTTGCAACAAAAGTGTTAAGACCAAAAAAGTTTGAAACTAATTCTGTATTCTTAATATGTCATTTTTGCTGAAAAATAAAACCTAATAAATCTTAAATGATACAAAGGTAAAAATAAGTTTTTAGTGAAACAAAGTGTTACATCGAGCTATATTTCTGCTCTTTGTCTTGCAAGCAGGACAATAACTATTTGTTCACACAGTCATGAAACAAAAAATCTCATATTCAAAGTCACATCCCCTTTAAAAATCTGATGATAAAATAATTTTTAAAAGTATCACGCTATTGTGCTGTATGTTGAACGCTTGAAACTCTGATACTATATGTTAACTATTAAAACACATCCAGTGACTGGGAAAATAATTTCCTAGCAAAGTAAATCTTGCTAATCACAAAAGCAGAAAACACCACCTGCTTTAGGCAGCTCTTTTGTGAACCTCTGGAAGTCTCAACACAATGCACAAGGAATGAAAGTAACACCTGTTTAAACTAGCCATCTGTCTCTACCAAACCAGATTTAGCTAAAAATCAGTGTATGTACACTGCTACTTAAACTTCCAAAATATAAATATACAGGTGCTACCCTGTAAGCAAAGAGAAGTAAAAACACCTTTACCAGAAATACAAAAATAATAATGTCAAACTTGCGGCTAACAGATAAGCATTATCTTCAATATTAGTTTATATAGATCAAAAGCTTCATTAATTTGTCATTTCTCACCCTTAGTTTTAAAAAAATTTTTCATAAATAAAATGTATTAAAATAATACTTTGTTTGCTCTAACATATTTATACGGTAACAAGCTTGTTTTAAGAATACAACTTCATCTACAAGAACACTACAGTATCATTTGAAGTTTATTTTTCATTCTGTCCGTATTTGTGATGCATTCACAACACATCACTTCAATTTTAAATAATTGTAAAAAGTAAACAAATGAGCTTCTAAAAGTGAGAGTATTTTACATAATAGCTGGCAAGTTTTTGAAGAGTATGGAATGTTCTAAGAAGGAAACTTTCCATAAGAGGTCAAAGTAAAGCATGAAGACCAGAACCAGAAATAGTAGCTAGAACACCAAAAGAACAGCAATACTATAAGACCATTGCTTTGTAGATACTTTGTTACGTTTCAAGTAAAAAGAAATGAAAAAAAATCTTCCTTCTCAATGGAAAGTTTTATAAACTATTTTAAACAGTAACATTTATTTCTGTATACAGTTCTGTAATTAACAAACTACCACACAACTACCGCACCAGGTGGAAACATGAAATTCGATAGAGCTAACAAAGCTGAACCTAATTATGAAATAAAGCACCCTGACTTCAAACTTCGTAACAACATTGTACCTTTAATTCCCATTTCATTTATTTTCACTGCATCATTGAAGGGCTCCTCCACAGTACAATGTAAGCTAGCTAAAGCACATCGAAGCCTATGATCCACGAAGACTCATTAGAGTATGCTGAAACAATTTAAAACAATGTTACACAGACAGTTACACAGTGTAAGTCATGAAAATGAATGTTAAAAAAAAATAAATAAAAAAAAAATCACAAGCCACTTCATTTTCAAATGCTGGTTAGCATCACAAACACCAACTATTTTGACAGCTGAGGGCATTAAGGAATCAAATGCATAAAGCAGATATCATCTGTGACCACTAAAATATTTCAGAAAGAATAAAGGCTCAACAGTTTTCCCTTTCAGGTCCCTAATATTAATTGAGTTGATCATGGTTGATTTATTATAGTTTTTCAAACAGCAGGCTTAACAAAATACAGCTAAGTAATATTAAAGAAGTCTTCGGTTTTAGATAAAATTACATACTTTAACATGACTTTTAAAACACTTCTGTACAGAAAAAAAAAAAAAAACAAAAAAAACTTATAAAACTCTCTCAGTCTGTGTGTTTCCTTTGAGACCACAGGTCTGGATGCTTGTCCTTCAAGGACAGACCTCAACATCCAGGAAGAAAGGCATCCTGGACAGGGCTCTGTCCTGTTGAAAGAAGGCTACTCAGGAGAGGCATGGTGTAGAGCTGACACCAGCTTTTTCAACATCAAGTAAATGCATCGAATGGTTTAGTGACTGATGAATCACATACATAATGTAATAACAAGGAAATTAAGATTTAAATCTGCCATATAACTGATGTAGTAAAATAACCTTCTGACTCCATACACATATAACTGAATTGTTACTCACTCTGAATGTTCTTAATATCTCTCAAAGTTATTTTGTAGCAGTACGCGCAAAATCAGCACTTGACGGCTTCATCTTGAATAAAATGATGACAACATAGACGTCTTTGGTAATTACCCAAAATAGAATTATTTTCATTCACATACTTGCTTTCTGAAAAAAAAAACACCAAAAAAACCCAAAACAAAACAAAACAAAACAAAAACACAAAAAATCCCACAATCTGCCTTGCCTTAAGAAACATTGATATAAATGAAAGATGTATCACAGTTGATGACCACCTGGAAAAAATGACCCTGTCACATTCATTGGTAGGTCCATTATGAGATAAAACAACATATCCTTGTTGGCAAAGAAAAAACTTATAAACAGAGTTCCGCTAAAGGTATTCAAATAGAAAAGGTGTAGAATTTTTAATAATAAATTAATAATAAAGAAATTTTTTGATTATGTTTTCCCTTAACGATTTAATTAAATAAAGGAAATAAGTAAGTCACCACTACAAAAAAGAAAAAAAAGTCTGCCACACCAAAAGGTGATTTGGCATGTCAAGGAAGAGAGCACAACTGGATATAGAGATGTTAAATGATAATTTTAATCACCAAAAAAGATGCCAGAAGCATACTTTATCCCAAAGAACTTAAAAAAAAAAAAAAAAGTAAACAAAGTATAATTTTCTACCTCCAACAATACAGCAATGCAAGTCTTTAGATCTTAACAACTAAAAAAAAAAAAAAAAAAAGCCAACCAATCAACCAACCAAATAAAAAACAAACAAACAAACAAAAAAAAACCACTGGTATTTTGGATTAAAAAAAAAAAAAAGAAGAAGAAAAGAAAAAATATCATCATTAATAACATAATTTGTACTTCAACCTCTTGTGAGGTAAAAAGGTGCCTCTTCCTTTCTTTCCAAAGCATCCTCTTGAAATGCAGCTGCAGTAACAAAAAATCACAAATCACAAAGACATTTTTAATTTCTTCCCTCTGCTTCTTAGCACACAAACTCGCAGTGACAGTGAAATGTCTCAGATTTCTTTGATTGTGGAGAGTTTAAGAAAACTCGTAAGGATCCTCTCCCCATGTACATAATGTGCATTTACTCCATCTACACACACACTACACCATACTACACTGGCAACATAAAAATGTAATAACAGCAATATAGTAATAATTCCTAGAAGGATTGCAAGAAGAAAAAAAAAGAAACCCGCAACTATGTGTATGGGTGGGGGTACCGAATAAACAGGAAAACACAGTACAAAGAAAATGCAGTTTATCCTAAAATAAGTAAGGACATTAATTATGAATAAATGAAAGGGGAAAAAAAAAAAAAAAAAAAAGAAAAGAAAAGAAAAAAGAAAAGAAAAGAAAGAAAAAGAAAGGTTTGGCTGAAAAAAACACAGAGAGTGACTGATCGCATATACAGGAGTCTCACTGGAGCCTAGGGAAGTTGGCAAACACCTGCACCTCCGGCAGCCACACGGACCAGAACAAGGCCCCTCGCTCTGCGCTGTGCAATGGGATCCATCTCCGCTGCTTCTTTCCTCCCACCTCCACCCCCAAGATGTTGCATTCTTTTTTGTTGTGGCTGTTGTTTTTTGCATAATAATAATAATTATTATTTAAAGAACACAATCTTAGCTTGTGCCCGAAGTCTCGTCTCCCAAAATTCCCTCGTCCCCACATCCCCCCCCCTCCGCTTGAACAGGAGACGACGGAAGACGCGTACCCATCGCATCCACGCGATTGTCCCGCAGGTCCCAGCAGCGCCTTCGTCCCCGCACGGCCGAGCCCCGGCTCCCCGCTCAGCCGGCCCCACCGCGCGCTTCCCTCGGCCCCGCGGACACCCCCATCCCGCCGCCCCCCGCCGCGCGCTCCCACGCCGAGGCGGCGGGGCCGGGCGAGAGGGACGGCAACGGAGAAGGCGGCGGGGCCGGGCGAGCGATCCGCGCTCCCCCGCCGCCCCGCCGTCACACGCCGCGGCGCGACGGAGCGTCCCCGGCCCGGATGCCGCGAGGTGGGGGGAGGCAGAAGCCGGGGGAAGGAGAGCGGAGGGAGGGCCGGCGTGCGCCCGGCGAGAGCACTCACCTGGGCTGAGGCGGGCTGCGGTGCTGCTCCGGCTGTCGCTGCTGCTGGAGGCGGCTGTTGTTGTTGTTGTTGTTGTTGTGGGTGACGATGAGGAAGGGGGTGAGGATGGGGGTGAGGAGCAGCAGGAGGAGGAGGAGGAGCAGGAGAGGAGCGGTTGTTGTTGATGGGTAACAGTCGCCAGGACTACGGTGACTATGGCGCTTGATTCACAAGGCAACGGTTGCTATAACTCACAAAAGGGAGAGCGAGCGAGGGAGGAGGAGGCGGCGGCCCAGTCGGAGAGGCCCGGAAGAGGCGGGGCCTGCCCTGACTGACGGCCCGGGGCCGAGCGCTACCTGCTCCCTCCGCCGGGCCGGGCGTCGTCCGCCGCGCCCCCGCTCATCCGTCGCGCCAGGACCGCCCGCGCGATACACGCGGTGCCGGCGGCGCAGCGCGCGGGCCGGTAAGGCTGTGGCGATACCGGACCCGAGCCCGAGGCGTGGCCGCGCGGGGGCCGCCTGACGCCACATCCGGCGGGCGGGGGTTGGAGCCCGGCCCCGGCGCGCTGCCCGCCGCGGGGGTCGTGCCGCACCCGCTGTCGGTCGAGGGGCCGCCGCTGGCGGAGGAGCGGGAGGGAAGTTACGCCCGACGGCGGCTGCTCGCCTCCCCCTGCGGCCGCCTATCGTGGCACCCCGCGCCTTCATCGGAAATAAAAAAAAAAAAAAGCCCCCGCCGACGGTGGGGGAGCTGCCCGTCTGCCGCCATCTTGACGCGGGGGGGATGGCGCGGGCTGAGCCCGCCGAGTTACGGCCATCCGGCGCGGCCTCAGTCGGGCGTCTCTGGCGAGGAGTCGGGCCGCGGTGGGGTCGATTCCCTGGGGCGTCCTCGCTCGCCCTCCAGCCGCCTCATTTCTGTCACAGCCTTGAGCTGTGAGCAGCCGGTGGGGCTGTGGCGGCCGTGAGTGAAGAACAGTGCGGTTGAGAATCCACCGTGCCGACAACCCGAGCCTGTGCTGCGTTGGGATGTGTGTTTAGGGAACAGGAGAGATGGAGATTGAGGCTGTTTTGTGGCCGTATACAGTTCCAGCACCTCCAGTGGGTAGTGCAGTGTTCCTTTGTAGCCCTGGTGCATCCCAGGCTGCAGCTCTTCGCTAGCCTGTGAAGTGTCTGTGAAGTGTCTTTGCGTAGCTCCTGCAGTCTATTGCTGACAGTGCTTGCCATAGAAGGCACCTAATTGAGTTCTATGCACCCTTCCACGTCCCTTTATCTTGCCATTATCTATACACAGCTCGACAATTCTTACTTCTCACACCAGTCCCTTGAACTTCCTCATGTTTGCCTCACAAACCCTGGTACTACTCCATTACAGCTGTCCCTAGAGACTGAAATTGCCCTTAAGTACTAAACAGAAGTATTTTCAACCCGTGAATAGGTGTACTGTGATTTTTAAAGCCCAATGTAACCATCATAGCTCTTAACAATTGCCTACAAAAAATTACTGGGAAATATGAAAGTGTGTAAAAATCAAACCTGAATCAACACAGCATTACATTTACAACAGAACAATCCTGAATAGTAGAATGGTGTAGTTTTACAGATGAAACTAATCTGAAATGCCGTAGCAGTAACTGCTCCATTTGGTTATTCAGCTGTTGAATCTTGGATGCTTGAAGAGCTTACCTTCACTTTGTGACAGTAGCCTTGTCAATCAGAAACACTGAGATAAAATCGTAAAAAGTAACAAAAATGGATAGTGTTGTCTTACATTGTTCATTTGAAGGCAAGCTGTATTTCAGTTTAACATTATTTCAGGTAACGGACATCTGTTACCCTATCTATCCAGGAAATAAAAGTTGCTTTATTTAGGTGATAATGCACTGAAAGCTTGGAGGATTTGTGCTTTCATTGATTTCTCATTTTCTTGTGAGCAATATGAAGGAGGGGACAGTGAGTGATTTCAGGGAAAAAAAAAAAAAAAAAAATGTTGCCAGAAGGATATGACTAATTCTGTGGAAATGCCTAACCAAATTTCATCTGATCCATGCTGGTAAAGAGAGTTTTTATTTCAAGGATTTTAATACTTAGTATTATACTGTCCTTTCTCTTATGTCAAGTTGTTGGTTGCAAGCATATTTGCTTTGCAAGATGAACAGGATGACCTGTCATAAAGTTGAAGGATAAAATCCCTTGGCTATTAGTTTGCATTCTTAAATCATGGAACTTTATATTTCTGTCCTCGTTGAAAAATGATATCAAACCCAGTCAGACCTTGGCATAAATGTGATACACATATATACATTTGTTGCCACCCTTGAATTAATGTGTTTGCAGAATATTTAAATCTCTATTAACATCTCAGTCTCTAAATACATAATCACTTGCTATGTCAGAAGGAGGGTCATGGCTTCTTTTGTTACTGGGAAATTGTTGAATCACTTCAATGTTTTGATCCTTTCATCTATGAAATTTGTTTGCAGAGCTGTCTGCACTAATCAATCAGAGCCTAACAGAAACTGAAGTCCTGCTTCAAAACATTGTGAATACAAATATATATATTTTTCAAACTTCAGAATTCGAATTTTTGGTCTTTATCAAAATACACATCTCATCTTATCTTGAAGAAATGTCATTTTTTCTTAGCAACAGTTACATATTTCTAGATAATCAACAGAAGCATTAAATCACGTCATATGGCTATGGTAACTAGTGATAATATTAATCAACCTTTCAAATTAAAATATGAAAAAAAAATCTTTTCATTAAAAGTAGTGCTAAAAACTTTGTAATTTGTGGTTAGATGCAAAATACACTGTATCTCTCAAAAAAATTTTATGGCTTTGCACATGGACAAGTAATAATCAAAATAATTAACATTTTTCAACACTGAATTAAAACAAGAGTAGACAGACATTTCTTGTACTTGCTTTTTTTGCTTTCAGACTGAACACTTCTACAAATAATTGTTTCTGTACCAAGGAATTTATAGTGAAATCTATTATATAAAGAAAGATAACAGAGAAGATGTTACTCCTATCATTTTTTTTTCCTGATTATAAATTTTAATGAAATCACTTTTTGATCTTCATCAGAATTACATTCCTATCCCTTCCATTTTCTGAGAGAAGAATTCATTAAGAGCAACCCAGAAGAGAAGCCCTGGACTTGGATGTCCTAGTGAATGAAAAGCTTAATGCAAACCAGCGGCTTGTTCTCGCAGCCTGTACCAACACTATCCTGGGCCAGTTTGTCAAGTCTCCCATAAAACTTGTGCATTCATGCCATCATTTATCAAGAGCCATGCTGTAAGAATAAATGCTGTATAGTAAATGCTGTATGAAAAAAAAAAAAAGCAATTTTGCATTCTCTAAAGTCTAGTCGTTGTCTTGTCTTTTTTGTTCATGTGAATACTCACCATGGGGAGAAGATGAAGAAGATAGTTTAGATGTTTTAAAGAATTAGGCAGTTTAGGTGCAGATGTGTAGGCTATGCTGTCTTGGCTGCTTGTCATGTTTCTTTGATTACCCATGTAAGTATGCAGACAAGAACATGGTTCTGCTTAGCTAAATTGGTTATTACTACCTGATAAGTAAATACTATTAAACACCTATATTATGCTTTCTTAAGGCTACAACAAGTCACTCACCACTGAGCATTTTGTTTCCCTCATGATACCCTCTTGTCTTGGCGCTCTAGATGGATCCAGCATGATGTGTAATAGGAGTTCTCTGAATGCCTGTTAATATATTGGATTTTTATAGGATTAGGTGAGATTAGCCTGGTCCATAATCTCAGTTCCTTGTTCATGTGAACAGTATTTCCTTTTTAATGCTGATTTTTCTTCATCTATGGAGTCCTTGCCATTTGTTTGGGACTAACATCTGTGTCAGTCTGTACCAGATAGCTGAGGAATGGTGAGTTCTTTGTTGCTTCTGGACTGCCAGCACAGCCTGCATGTTTGACCCTGAGGGTGAAAGCTGTTGGCCGTACTGCCTCTCTGGCCAGAAAATCAGTGGGTATGTCTACCTTGTGGCTTCTCAAGTCCTGTGTAATTTGGACACTACTGTGATACTGCTCTGGAAACGCTCAGTTCTGACAAAGATGAGTTTGTGTCTTTTCCACCGTACCCTAGCTTCTATCCTCTCATCAGAAATTAATGAGACCACCAGTAGATGACTGTCAGTCTTGCTAATACTTTCTCCACACAGTTTTACAAGAAATGTGCTTTCCTAGGATCCCTGTTTTGTTTTGTTTTTTCCATAAGGCACCCTATTGACAATTCTGAGACAGGAGACATTGACAGTACTATCATTTGCAGAGATGAGGAAGAAACAAGATGGCAAGAAGTGGAGGCTTACAGTGAAAAGCAAACATAAAACTGGTGACAGCTGGCTTTATGTGTGTGAGAAGCAGTCCTAGAAGTGTCATACACTCTACATTTTTAAATCTTTCTGCAAGTACCTCTGTACTTGCTACACACTAAAGGGAAGATTTAACAGAGGTGCAGCCCTCTAGCTGTGTTTAGGCCCTTACTTCTGTATTAGCAACATGATGTGCACAATCAAGGAATGCAACTTCCAGTTTGCTTGTATTGGAAAGGTGAATTGAAGAAGGGAGTGAAATTTTCATGCACCAAAACTGTGCTGTGAAGAGAATAAAAGCACAACAAGTGCAGAAAATAAGAGATTTGCCTTAGTCATGCACTGCTTGTATGAGAGAAGATGCTATAGCAGTCATATTCTTAATTGGGAAACCTGACACATTAATCAGTTTTTAATGTCCGTTACAGTTTGGTTACATTAAGTTCCTTGTGGACCAGTCCATCAAACACAGAAGTATCAATGATTTTTATAATGACATTAAGATAAATCCCCACTGCAGTTTTTTCCATCTCTTGAGTAATAACAGTCCAGTAAGCAAAGCAGTCACTATTCTTCATTATCTGATATAACAAATGTGAAAATACTGAGTAGGTGTATGTTAAACTACGTTATATTGTAAACAAACAAATACAGATTTATTTTTTTTTTCATTGCAAGGTGAAATTTGAGATTACTCTAGCCACTGAGAATCCATTTTTTCTATGTGAAAATGCCTAAAATATCCAGCCCTGATTCTGGGGTTAGTCATTTAAACAATTCCTATTAAAATAATTTTTCTCCATACTTCTAATGTCAGAATGAGTTTGCTACATGTGACCTTATAGATGTGGCAGTGCCAGAGCCTCCTGCATCTAAGCGCTGT